CGGGAGGGGACCGGGGAGGGGACCGGGGTAGGGGACAGGGGGACCGGGAAGGGGACCGAGGGCCGGGGGAAGGGACCGGGAGGGGACCGGGGGTCGGGGAGGGGACAGGGAAGGGGACCGGGGGAGGGGACAGGGGGTCGGGGAGGGGACCGGGGGACCGAGGGAGGGCTGTCCCCGGGCCGGCTCTGCCCACCCGGTTCTGGCACCGCCCGCGCCGCCCATAAAAGCTCCGCTCGCGCCTCGCCCGCCGCAGTCGGGTCCGCGGCACCGGCTGCGCCCGAGCCCGAACCGAGCGGGATCCGCATCCTGAACCGGGAATTCGCATCCCGAACCGGGAATCTGCATCCCGAACCGGGAATCTGCATCCCGAACCGGGAATCTGCATCCTGAACCGGGAATCTGCATCCCGAACCGGGAATCTGCATCCCGAACCGGGAATTCGCATCCCGAACCGGGAATCTGCATCCCGAACCGGGAATCCGCATCCCGAACCGGGAATCCGCATCCCGAACCGGGAATCCGCACAGCGAACCGAGCGGGATCCGCATCCCGAACCGGGGAATTAGCATCCTGAACCGGGAATTCGCATCCTGAACCGAGCGGCATCCGCATCCCGAACCGGGAATTCGTATCCTGAACCTCATCCTGAACCGGGAATTCGCATCCCGAACCGGGGAATTCGCATCCCGAACCGGGAATCCGCATCCCGAACCGGGAATCCGCATCCCGAACCGGCTGCATCAGGTACCGAGAGGAGCCGCATCCCGAGCCTGCTGCTCCCCGGAGCGCCTGAATCCCGAACCGGGAGGGATCCGCACCTGCTGCGCTGCACCGGCACCGGGAGGGACCCGCACCCCGAACCGGGAGGAATCCAAACCCCGAACCGGGAGGGACCCAAACCCCGAACCGGGAGGAATCCAAACCCCGAACCGGGAGGGACCCGAACCCCGAACCGGGAAATCCAAACCCCGAACCGGGAGGGACCCGAACCCCGAACCGGGAGGAATCCAAACCCCGAACCGGGAGGGATCCGAACCCTGAACCAGGAGGAATCCAAACCCCGAACCGGGAGGGACCCGAACCCCGAACCGGGTCCTGCACCCCAAACCTGCTGTCCCCTGAGCCGGGTCCCAGTCCCCAGACTGGGAGGTGCCCATGCCCTGAAGCAGCCACGCAGCCCAAAGTGGCTGAGCCAGGAGGTCTCTGCACCCAAAACTGGCTCTGCACCCCAAAACTGCCTCTGCACCCCAAAACTGCCTCTGCACCCCAAAACTGCCTCTGCACTGATCCTCCTGCACCCTAAACCAGGCAGGTCCTGCACCCTAAAACAGCTGGGCCAGGAGGACCCCACACCCCAAAACAGCTGGGCTGGGAGGATCTCAGACCCTGAAGCAGCTGGACTGGGAAGACCCCGCACCCCAAAACAGCTGGGCCAGAAGAACCCCAGACCCCAAAGCTGCTGGTCCAGGAGGACCCCAGACCCCAAAACAGCTGGGCCAGGAGGACCCCAGACCCCAAAACAGCTGGGCCAGGAGGACCCCAGACCCCAAAACAGCTGGACTGGGAGGACCCCAGACCCCAAAACAGCTGGACTGGGAGGACCCCAGACCCCAAAACAGCTGGGCCAGGAGGACCCCAGACCCCAAAGCCACTGGACTGGGAGGACCCCGCACCCCAAAACAGCTGGGCCAGGAGGATCTCAGACCTTGAAGCAGCTGGACTGGGAAGACCCCGCACCCCAAAACAGCTGGGCCAGGAGGACCCCAGACCCCAAAGCGGCTGGTCCAGGAAGACCCCGCACCCCAATCCCCGGGGCCATGGACGAATCTCCGGCGCTGTCGGCGGAGCTGGAGCACCTCAACGCCTCCCAGAACGAGTCGTGGGCCAACCCGTTCGTGCAGGCGCCGTGGCAGGTGGCCCTGTGGGCCGCGGCCTACGCCCTCATCGTGGTGGTGGCCGTGGTGGGCAACGCCGTGGTGATGTGGATCGTGCTGGCCCACAAGAGGATGCGCACGGTCACCAATTACCTGCTGGTGAACCTGGCCTTCGCCGAGGCCTCCATGGCCGCGCTCAACACCGTGGTGAACTTCAGCTACGCCGTGCACAACGAGTGGTACTTCGGCCACGCCTACTGCCGCTTCCACAACTTCTTCCCCATCGCCGCCGTCTTCGCCAGCATCTACTCCATGACGGCCATCGCGCTGGACAGGTCAGGGGGCAGGGGGCAGCTCTGGCCAGAGCCTGGGGACAGGTCAGTGGTCAGGGGTGAGCAGTGGCCGGAGCCCAGGGACAGGTCAGGGGTCAGTGGTCAGGGGTCAGTGGTCAGGGGTCAGCAGTGGTTGGAGCTCAAGGACAGGTCAGGGGTCAGGGGGCAGCGGTCAGTGGTCAGGGGTCAGTGGTCAGGGGTCAGCAGTGGTTGGAGCTCAAGGACAGGTCAGGGGTCAGGGGGCAGCGGTCAGTGGTCAGGGGTCAGTGGTCAGGGGTCAGCAGTGGTTGGAGCTCAAGGACAGGTCAGGGGTCAGGGGGCAGCGGTCAGTGGTCAGGGGTCAGTGGTCAGGGGTCAGCAGTGGTTGGAGCTCAAGGACAGGTCAGGGGTCAGGGGGCAGCGGTCAGTGGTCAGGGGTCAGTGGTCAGGGGTCAGCAGTGGTTGGAGCTCAAGGACAGGTCAGGGGTCAGGGGGCAGCGGTCAGTGGTCAGGGGTCAGTGGTCAGGGGTCAGCAGTGGTTGGAGCTCAAGGACAGGTCATGGGTCAGGGGTCAGCGGTCAGTGGTCAGGGGTCAGTGGTCAGGGGTCAGCAGTGGCTGGAGCCCAAGGACAGGTCAGGGGTCAGTGGTCAGCAGTGGTTGGAGCCCAAGGACAGG